TCTTCCAGAAACATCTCAAGAGCTTCCAGGATCACCTCAACACCACCTGAAACCTCCCTGAGACCTCAAATCTCTCCTCCCCAGGACCCCCCAAATTCTTCAGGGACCCCCAGACCCACCCTAAAATCCCCCCAGACACCCCAAGTTCTTCCAGAAACATCTCAAGAACTTCCAGGCTCTTCCAGAAACATCTCAAGAGCTTCCAGGATCACCTCAACACCACCTGAAACCTCCCTGAGACCTCAAATCTCTCCTCCCCAGGACCCCCCAAATCCAGCAGGGACCCCCCCAAATCCAGCAGGGACCCCCCCAAATGCCCCACCTGGTGACGTAGTTGACCATGCCGGTCTGCAGCAGGAGGTCGCGGCGGGGCAGCAGGTTCTCGGTGATGAGGTTCTGGTTGGAGCGCACGGCCACGGCGTTACAGACACACAGCGAGCACAGCACGTCCAGCACCTGGGGACACAGCTGAGTGTACCTGGGGACACCTGGGGACACCTGGGGACACACCTGAGTGTACCTGGGGACACCTGGGGACACTTGGGGACACACCTGAGTGTACCTGGGAACACCTGGGGACACCTGGGGACACACCTGAGTGTACCTGGGAACACCTGGGGACACCTGAGTGTACCTGGGGACACTTGGGGACACCCCTGAGTGTACCTGGGGACACCTGGGGACACCTGGGGATACCTGAGCACACCTGGGGGGACACCTGGGGACACCTGGGGACACACCTGAGCACACCTGAGCCCCTCCCCACCTTGTGGTTGCGGCCGTGCTTGTCCAGCAGGGAGATGATGGACTTGATGTGATTCTCCTGGATGATGTTGAGCACCTCGGGGCTCTCGATCAGGACACAGTACAGAACCTCCAGGATCCCTGCGGTGTGGGGCAGCCCCATAGCGCGGCTCAGACCCACGGGAGAGACCCCAGACCCACGGGAGAGACCCCAGACCCACAGGACAGACCCCAGACCCACAGCACAGACCCCAGACCCACAGCACGCAGTACAGAACCTCCAGGATCCCTGCGGTGTGGGGCAGCCCCATAGCGGGAGTCAGACCCACGGGAGAGACCCCAGACCCACAGGAGAGACCCCAGACCCACAGGAGGGACCCCAGACCCACAGCACAGACCCCAGACCCACAGCACAGACCCCAGACCCACGGGAGGGACCCCAGACCCACGGGAGGGACCCCAGACCCACAGCACAGACCCCAGACCCACGGGAGAGACCCCAGAACCACGGGAGGGACCCCAGACCCACAGCACGCAGTACAGAACCTCCAGGATCCCTGCGGTGTGGGGCAGCCCCATAGCGCGGCTCAGACCCACGGGAGAGACCCCAGACCCACGGGAGAGACCCCAGACCCACGGGAGGACCCCAGACCCACGGGAGAGACCCCAGACCCACGGGAGGGACCCCAGACCCACAGCACGCAGTACAGAACCTCCA